CCCCCGCCGCAGCACCACCACCCCCGGCGGCGGCAGCTACGTGGACCCCAGTGCTCACGCAGTCCAGCATTTGGGCATGGTGGTATTCTCATCCCTGGCCCTTGCCACAACCACCAGCATGGCCGGTGCGCCCCCGCCCACTCGCCCTCCCGCGTTTGTCGACGCACCCAGCCCCTGGCCCCTCTTCCCCAGGCCCCTCGCCTGCCGCCCTTTGCCGTGCTCGCCCGCGCGCTGCGCGTGCGAACGCCTTGAGAGCGGCCGCACCGCGCGATCGACCGCGTAGTTATGGACCAGCCGCATTGTTTTGCCCTCCCTGTTTGGATGTGCATGGATCGCTCCATGCTATTGTGGTGGTTATACATACACACCCTAGGAAGTGCAGTTGTGCACCCGTGCCACCTTCTAGTGTTCATCAGCCCTGCGCACCCCTTCAAACCCACCCACCCAACACCCCCAGGCCTCGCCTACCCCCTCTGGGCCCCCGCCGCCGCCGGCGCCTGCCTCGGCGGCGCCTTCGCCGCCCTCCACCGCCACGCCGCCGTGCGCCTCTGGCGCCCGCCGTCCGGCCCGCTGCGCCTCGTCGTCACCGGCGGCACGCGCGGCCTCGGCAAGGCGCTCGCGCGCCAGGCGCTGCTGGCTGGTGACGCCGTCCTCGTGACAGGCCGCTCGCGCCGCGGCGCCGAGGCGGCCGCCGAGGGGCTCAGGCGCGAGGTGGAGGCGCTTAATGAGATGGCGCGCGCCGCGCCGGGCGGCGGGAAGGGGGCCGGCGGCGCGGGCGCGGGCGTGGGGCCGCCGCGGGTGTTTGGGGTGGAGTGCGACGTGTCGGACCCTGAGCAGGTGGGCGTCTGCAGAAATGCCCTCCCGTGGCGCGCGCCTCTGGGGCTCTTGTCCGATCGACGCAGATTGTCAGCCGCAACGGCGCCCCCGGCGGCGCTCCATCCCCTGCCAGTCTCAATCTGTAGCGCGCGCGCCCTGTATCTCCCTCCCTTTGCCCGTCAAGTGCCCTGCATCTGCTCGCTCCTTCCATCTTCATCCTCCCTGCATGTGCCCCCCATTCGCCCTGCATCTGGCCCCATCCCCATCCATTTGCCTTGTGCTCTCCATGCATCTGCTCCGCTGTTGCCCTCCACTTCCCACCCCGCACACGTCCCCCACTGGCCCCCCATCCTGGCCCCCGCATCCCTACCCTAAACCCGCCCCCCTGACACCAGGTGCGCGCCCTGGGGGAGGCGTCATCCCGGCTGCTGGGCGGCCCCGTGGACGCGTGGGTGGTCAATGCGGGTCAGAGCGGCAGCTTCAAGGCCTTCCTGGAGGCGGACGACGACGCCCTGGAGCAGGTGGGGATTCTTTGGTGTGTCTGTATGCGTGTGTGTGTGTGTGTGTGTGTGTGTGTGTGTGTGTGTGTGTGTGTGTG